TCCCCATTTTCCCCCAAATTCCCATTTTACCCCCCAAATTTCCCATTTTTCCCCCAAATTCCCGTTTTTTCCCCAAATCCCCAGATCCCGTGGCAGCTGCTGACCCCGGAGCCGTCGCTGCTCTCGCGCGTGGACGAGGCCGGGCTGGAGCAGAAACGGCGCGAGAGGATCCAGCGCCTGGTAACGGCCCCAAATCCTGGGAATTTCACCCCAAAATCTGGGAATTTCACCCAAAATCTGGGAATTCTCACCCAAAATCCCGGGAATTCCACCCAAAATCCTGGGATTCTGACCCAAAATCTGGGAATTTCACCCAAAATCCTGGGATTCTGACCCAAAATCTGGGAATTCTGACCCAAAATCTGGGAATTTCACCCAAAATCTGGGAATTTCACCCAAAATCCCGGGAATTTCACCCAAAATCCTGGGATTCTCACCCAAAATCAGGGAATTCTGATCCAAAATCAGGGAATTCTCACCCCAAATCAGGGAATTTCACCCAAAATCCTGGGATTCTCACCCAAAATCTTGGGAATTTCACCCAAAATCCCGGAATTCTGACCCAAAATCTGGGAATCTGACCCAAAATCCCGGGAATTTCACCCAAAATCCTGGGATTCTCACCCAAAATCCCGGGAATTTCACCCAAAATCCCGGAATTCTGACCCAAAATCTGGGAATTCTCACCCCAAATCCCAAAAATCCCACAGAAATCGTGAGATTCTGATCCAAAATCCCGGAATTCTCACCCAAAATCCCACAAAAATCCCGGGAATTTCACCCAAAATCCTGGGAATTCTGACCCAAAATCTGGGAATTCTCACCCAAAATCTGGGAATTCTGATCCAAAATCCCGGAATTTCACCCAAAATCTGGGAATTCTGACCCAAAATCCCGGGAATTTCACCCAAAATCCTGGAATTCTGACCCAAAATTCCGGGAATTCCCCCCAAAATCCCGGGATTCTGTCCCAGCCCCTCCCCCGCCCATTCCCGATTTTTTCCCAGGGATTCCCCCCAAAATCCCGGGAATTTCACCCAAAATCCCAGAATTCTGACCCAAAATCTGGGAATTCCCCTCAGAATCCCGGGATTCTCTCCCAGCCCCTCCCCTGCCCATTCCCGGTTTTTCCCAGGGATTCCCCCCCAAAATCCCAGAATTCTGACCCAGAATCCCGGGA